TCTCTGCTTACAAAATGAAGATTGCACTGATGTGTCTCTTAAGATAATTACGTACTTACATATGACTGCCAAGTGCTTCAGGGTCATAAAAAAACTTTATAAATGCCAACCATGATTACAACCCTTTGAAACAATGGGATATATGATTTACAGACGGAAAAAGATGAGACATAACAGGTAATCCTTCTTGTCTGATCCCCACCCACCATCAGATAGTAATTCAGAGGTAACAACGTCAGCTTGGGAAGGAGGAGGAGGGTTTAACTGGGGTCTAGATAGGATTTCCAGGGCCTTTTTAGGTACCTCTGTCTTGAGGGACGTTACCTGAATCTGACAAGACGGGCCAAGGGCAAGAGTTACCAGAAAGATGGATGCCACCCAATTCCCAGTTTCAAGAGAGGACTCGGATAGAGAAGGCAGCTGGTTGGCCCTTGCAAAGCAGAAGGTGGCTTAGAGAAGGACTATTAAGGTGGAATTGTTGTCAAACTCTGCTCTATTCTCAACCTCCGGTAACCTAACAGGGAAAGAAAGGGCAAGACTTACCATGTTCACCCTCTCTCCAGGTGTATCATAGCAAGTGACCGGAAAAGGTGGGTTGTGTATTGAATTAACAGAGCATTCAGATTTTCCTCCCTAACATTTTGTTTGGCTCTTTTTCTGGTGGGCTCTTCATAAGATCTCTGAGTTCAAATTCCATAGTTCCAGAGGTGAGTCACTGAAAAGCCAGCTTTTCACAGAGCTGATGCCATCCATCGTAGAGTATCAGTGATCAGATTGTTCCAGACTTGACGCTGTCTGGCCTCCGAGGTCAGAAGCAGGCACAGAAAACACCGTGATTTACCCAGGGATGTGGGAATGAGGAGACTCTGACAGCAAGAGCCTGCAGCTCCAACCCAGCAGTGAGCTCAAACGGTGGTGGACGTTATGTGTCTCAGTGCGCCTGAAGAAATCGCCCAGGTCCAAAACGGAACGGACCCTTGTGTCTCATGTTGGAAACATCAAATTATCTGGGGATAGAAGACTTGCGGGTGGGATGAGGGGCTGAGTGGGGAGGTCACTTCACATCACAGGCTTCTTGGCAGGATGTAGCCAGGGATCATAACCATGGGCTCAATCAAACTTGCAGTTTGGGAGTTTCTGCAAGTGGCTCCTGTCTCCCGGAAGAGTTTTGGTTGTGGGAACAGTTCAACTTTTTTCACTTCTCAGCCATACCATTGTCAGTCACCTTGGGATTCTTCATTCTTTGGCATCCAGAACTAGTGAGGTGGCCCTCATTACCTCCTTTCTTGACGTCAGTGAGCGAGTTGTTCCCCATGGTTGTCTTATGTGAAATAACTCAGCATTTGCACTTTAATTAAAACTCATAGGTATATGTTATTAAATGGTACTGACTCATTCCACGGTTTCTCCTCAGCTGAAGAAATGCCAGAAAATGCTATGCACAAAGCAGTGATGAAGACTGTGTGTCTCATACATCCAAAGAGATCACTCTGTCCTGTGTCGGGGTTTTCTCAAGACGAAATTGAAGTTCCAGATTCTTTCTGCCTTGGAGGGAGAGGAAAATGGCACCTGACTAGAACCTTTTTCCCTTCTTCCCTTTTGTGAGTTTCATAAAAGCAGGGCCAGGCACCAGGTATTTGCTTCACTGAATTAGGCAACCATAATCAAAACCTCTCAGCGGAGATACGCACAGGAGATACG